GGACTGACTGAATCATAGCTTTGATTCAGTGGCAATTCCTTGTAACTATAAAAAAATAAAAGAAGTCATGATTACTCAATTTTATGTCCTATCAAATTTATTCTGCCTGTAGCCTTTTGTATCTAGACTGACAGTATGTTTTATATGTAATCTTTGCTTTTTTATTGTACCATTGCAGTATCTTAGGAGGAAGCAATGTGAAACTGATGTGGATGTTGGCTTTTCTCTTCTGTGCCCCCTAAGTCAGCATCGTGTATTTGTAGCTCATCCTCCCTGAAGAGGCTCCTTCAGCTAATAACCCCGCATTACTCCTTTGATGAACAACCATCTTTCATCTATGACAGGATTTCCTACTTGGCATAGCAGGATTGACATCAATAACATTTGAAGATGACATTTCTGTGAGATATGATTTCATTGATGAGCAGGTATAGTCATTCTTGACATTGAGGCAATTCATGCAGCTGGAAAAGAAAAATCTAAAGTTACATTAATGGCACACAGGGGACAGTTCTTACAGTGTGAGACCAACCCATGGAGGTTTATTTGAAGGGTTATTGCTTCATTTCCATTTCGAAAGAAAAAATAACTGGGAGATATCATTTTCAAATACATATTATTTTAATGAAATTGAAAAGAGAAAAATTTAGTACCTTTTCTAGCCTTTACCCATACTAAATTGTTAAGAAAAGATAAATGATAAGTTTTTGATGTCTCAGAGAATCAAAAAAAGAAGGCGTGATATGGGATTCCCCTCTGTAGGCTGCGAATATGTTTTATTACCATTGGTTAATAAAGAAGCTGCTTTGGCTTATAGCAGGGCAGAATAGAGCCAGGCAGGAAAACGAAGCTGAATGCAGGGAGAAAGACAATGGAGTTAGAGAGATGCTGCCATGTAGCTGCTGAAGGAAACAGACGCTGGAACCTTACCGGTAAGCCACAGTCTTGTGGTGATACACAGATGAATAGAAATGGGTTAATTAAAGATGTAAGAGTTAGTTGATAAGAAGCCTGAGCTAATAAACCAAACAATGTTGTAATTAATATAGTTTCTGTGTGATTATTCGGGTCTGGGCAGCAGGGAAGCAACCAAGCAGTCTGTGCCTACAAATGTGTATTTTAGTAAAACTTAATTTTAGCCTCTAAGTTCACATTTTCCCAAACAAGAACTTTCTCAGTCACTGAATGACGAATTCCAGATGGCACATTAAGCGGAGTGTCTAAGTAAATGTTTCACACTAAAATAATGTGTGAAAAGCGGACTCAGGTTTATAAATGATTACCACATTCTTAGGCCTCGCAGGCCCTCCACACCTAAAGCAGCAGAGGCTGGTGTGAACTAGATCCCTTCACACTCCTTTAGGTGGATAAGCACCCCAACGAATCCACTGAAAGATCTTAGTGCTCCCCCAAGGTGGCATGACCTGAGAAACCAAGAGGTGAGAGATAGGCTCACCCGTTGGTTTGTTTACAAAGGACAGAGTCTCTAGAGGTTTGAGGTTGCCCTGTTCATTTAAATTTGTGAGGTAAATAAAGTTCTAGGGCCTGGAGTCTGGGTATGGGGTAGTCTGCTTTGGAGTCAATCTATTCAGGCTACAAAAGAGAGGAAGTAATTGGATTTGGGCTCAGATAACATTCGACAGGTTGGAAGAGCAGAGGCAGCCTAAATCCAGCCAAATGCCTGTCTGTCTGCCAGGTTACAGAGATGAGAGGCCCCAGGAATCGGACAAGCACTGAAAACACCACCCATGAGAGACTTAGCTTCAATATCCCAGAAACTCAAACCTAGTCTACTAGCGACAAACCCAAACATAAATTTTCTTGGTTCAAATCTGGATTGTCCTCAAGCTGATGTTAATATGTTTGCACCTTAAAGCAGGGATAACTAAGGAGAGGTCAAGATGTACCTTTAAGCTATTATTGGTTAATAGATAAGAAGCAACATTTTTTAATTTTTATGATTTCTGGTAAATAAGAGTGAAGTTTAAACCCATTAGGGGAAAGTGGTAATTACAAGCATTGCCCTAGAAGAAGTGCAACCTCAGGTATGAGAGGCTAACACAAGCCAACTACATTTAAAAAAAAATAATCAGCCTTTAGAACACTCAGAAATAGTAATACTAGTAGGGAAAAGGGGGAACTAAGAGAAAGGGGATCATGCAAGAAAATGAAACATGAACAGGAACCCTCTGAGGCCTTATTAGAAACAGGAATTCATAGCAAGGAACTTGTCTTGTAGAACAAAGTGTCTATAAACTTGGTGAGGAGTGAGATCCTGGATGCAACATAAAGCAACTGAGTCAGAATAATGATAATAATAATGATAATAATAATAATAATAATAATAATAATAATAATCAAATGTAACCACAACCCAGATCTTAAAAGACTTAATCAATATGCTACACTCCACCCCCAGATTCAGAATGAAATGTGAGTCAAACACAGGTTAGAGCTGTAGACTTTCCAGACTGCTTTCTCTCTAAAACCAGTGCCAAGAAAATATTATTTTGCTCATTTAATAAACCTAAAAAATATGACATGGAAAGTAGTATGTCAAAGGAAGATTTATGCTAGGCATGTTTTCAAATGATCAGTCGAATCTCCAACTTCCTTAGCGAGTGGATCTTGAAATGATGAGCCTTGCAGCCTCCCAGTGGACTGGCCTCTGTGCACTTAAAACGTCTTAGAGGTGCTCATCATCTGGAAGGGAGCAGAGAGTCATGGCACTCGAATTCAGTGGCACAGAAAACCCAGCAGAAGGATTTAAAGGAATAATAGGGGACAAGAGATTTTCAGTCAGGTCTTCCGGGTTGTAGCTTAGTGAATGGAAAGTTTCACAGAGACCGGCTGTAAATCCACCCTTCTTCATTGCCGTCTACAAACACGTATTCCTTACTAAACACAGGCCAAGACTTTCTGTTGCTCAATTCCTGATCCCTGCTTGAGTCATTAGCCACCTTCTAACATTCTGTTGGGATCGGAGGCTGACACACAGGCTAAATTTCAAAATTCTGTGGAGTTTCCTTCATGTTTTGTTACATACTAAGGCTTGTACTCATTTTTCTTAATAAGAATTATATAAAAGATTTCTATGTTGTGTGATTGTAGTGGTATATATTTTGTAATTTGATAAATAAATCTTGCCTGAATACCAGAGGCAACGCTAAAGTCACTAGAGGTCAGGCAATGGTGACACACATCCCAAGTCTTCTCTTTAGCCCCATTTCATGTCAATTTTAACGGTATGTTTTTAGGTGAGAGTTTATAGATTTAAAGGGTTCTTCCTGCCATCTTGTAATTAGAATCATAATAAAATATTCCATGCTGACCATATTTTTTTCAAGATGCATACACAAAAATATATTTATTTTACAGCATCCTTTGTTTACAGCATCAATGATCCTTAGTATTTTAGATATCAATTTCTTATTTATATTTCATTTATTAGTTATCATTTTCTGGGTATGTTATGGGAAAGAGAATGGCCTGAACTCAATAATCAAAAATAAACATTAGCAAATGCATGCATTAGGCTAAACATTCTGACATAATTCAAATGGTAGCAAAATGTTTTTAGACTTAACAGAAAAAGTCTAATAATAGCAACCTAATACTCTGATTAATGAGATAAATATATTGATGGAGACTAACATCTGATATTTGGGCTAATTTATAAATTAATTTATAAATATTAAACACCAAAAAACAAAACAGAATCTCAAAGCCGACCAACCAAACAAAACCCCAACTATTACAGGTTAAATGACAAGTCCAGGAACAACGAAAGAAGGCATCTAGATGGAGCTGGCGTTTCTTTATTGTCTTTCCAAACAGTGTCTTTAACGAGACGTGAAGAAGTTGTACACATTAAGGTGTAGAAGTGTGGGGAATAAAATAAATTCAAGAGGCTAGTAAAAAGTTAAGCTGTTTTTAATATACCATTTTGCAGAAAGGGGCGCCAGCATAGAAAAAAATGACTGACTTGGTGATTTAGCACAAGAAGACCTTTTTTGTTTGGTTGGTTGGTTTTTTGTTGTTGTTTGTTTGTTTTAAAGTCACTGGTCTGGTGAAATTCCTCTCTTTCCATAGATTAGGACTTGCCCCCTTCCTCATGAATAATTTGGGACTCAAGACTGCTTCCTTTTCTAACCTAGAGCTCAGGCATGTAGCAGACTTCCTGTAACTTTCTAATTTTCAAAGTTCTGAAGCAAACCTCTGCAAGGTGCCAGCTAGGGGAGAGGCCTGGAGGCATGGGGCCTCCTGCTAACTATCACTAACTTGAAAAACATCTCACACTGAAAACAGAACACAACAATTTCTTACAGTTCCTCTCGGCTGCACCACTTTGGCGGGTGACCTTGAGGGAGTCACTTTCCGCTAGGAAGGATTCTAAACCTGATAAATCTCGTGAGGGAACCCCTCTAGTATGCCTGGCCACATTTTGTCACTGAAAGCGCAGGGAGGAGGTGAAGGTGACTGATGCCCAGCCTCTTCCAGATGCTTCCTCCCCAAACTAAGAAACGGTAATCTCCTGATCTCGTAGGACAGTTCCACGTTGGGGATTTTGGTTTGCCTCTACTACACACAGGATTCTCCTTACAGACTAAAATCGTCGCACTTCTTCCACTAAGTCTGGGTCACAAGTCTGTAGTGATTGGTTCCTGAAGTTCACCTTCCGCTACAGATCCCTCAGGTCGTCACCCAGCAGTCTCTCAGGGTCTTCTTTTCTTCACACGTTTGGCTTTACTGTTGAAGGGCTTTTCCAGTGAGAGGGAATTCTGGCCCCTCACAGTTTCCTCGGCGACCATAACACTTTGTGTGAGGCAGGCCAGTCTCTAGCGCACCTCGTTCAGTGCGCTACCTGCAGAGGCTCCCACCCTGCGCCCGCCGTCCTGTCCCCTGGCTCCTTCCTCCACCCGGGAACGCGCAGCCTTCCCCCACCCCCCGAGCGCGCTAGACCGCGCACGCGCCGGCTCGCCACGGCGTCACCTCGGCGACCAGCAGTGACGTCAGCGGCGCGACGCCCCGAGTCCGTGCGGGTTCTGCGGGAGGGAGTCCGCCCCTTCGCGGTCATGGTGCGCTGCGGTTGCGCGTGGCTGAGAAAGGTCCGTGCCGCGGGTCCTGCCCCAGCGGGGGTCTGTCGCCGCTCTGCCGGGTTGTCGTTCCTCAGGTCCCTCATGTGCCCCTTAACGTGGCTAGGCCTGTTTGGGTCCGGCTTTGGGGAATTGCTAGAAAATTCCTCAAAGCACGTGGGAGGGAACTCGGGGTACCTGGCTGCAGTTTAGACACGGTTTTACGGTGTACGTGGTGTACAGCGACTTTTTCCTTTTTGTTTGTTTGTTTTCACTCTTGTTTAAAGTAGTCCTCATAACCCGTTCTTAAACGTTTTTCCTCCTTTGTACTGCTTTTCATATCTTTCTGAAGATATTTTCTGGAAGCCAAAAGTGTGTAATTGTTGTTCCGCCCACAGAGATTTTAATTTTTATGTAGTGTCTGTTTTAGAATCCATTTTCGTAACAATTCGCAACCAGCTGCTTCGACTTAAAAAAAAAATAAATCACAATCGGCTTATTAGAAGATTAAGTAACTAGAAATTAGATTAAGTAACTAGATTAACTAGAAGATTAAGTAACTAGAAATTAGAATTAGAAAACTAGAAGAAATCTTATTTAAGCCATTCCCTGCTACTAACAGCCATTGTAAGATCCTTAATACATTTGATGAATCTAGAAAGTAAAGAAGTCACATGTTGAACACAGCTTTAAAAGCCCTTACCAAGAGTATTACTATACCAGGGTGGTCAATCTTCACTTTTTAAAATCCTAAAAGTTTTATTTTTAATACCTAAAAGTTTGCAGATTATCAAAATATTGTAGATTCTCAAAAATGTGGATACTTAAGGAATTACTCTGTAATTTAAAAGCCTGGGATTAATACACAGAATCTTTATAAGAAGTTGCTTATTAGCCAGGCATTGGTGGCACATACCTTTAATTCCAACACTCCAGAGACAACAGAGACAAGAGGCTTTCTGAGTTGAGTTCGAGACCAGCCTGGGCTACAGAGTGAGTTCCAGGACAGGGTTCAAAGCTACAGAAAAACCCTGTCTCTGAAAACCAAAAAAAAAAAAGTTACCGATTTAGTGAAGGAAACAGAGACACTAAATACAGAATAAGATTTTCAGCGTAATCCAGTTTCTGAGGAAGCCTACAAAGGCAGAGTAAAAGTCAAGGACAGCAACAGTTCAAGGATGCTGCAGATCATAAAACCATATGTGAAGCCATATTTTAGTTCTGTTATTTGAGAATACATTGGCAGTCTGACACCAGGAAGTGGGTTTATGATAGAAAGGAATAAATAATCTAAGTAGAGGAACATGAATACAGCGGCAGAGACTGAGCAGAGCATTGCAGAGAAAAGAACAAGGGGAGAGGAATGAGAAAGTTATAACCAATAAACAATACTCCAGTGATAGCGTGAAGGACTTGGATACAGTTCTGTGAGTATTATGTTATTTCATAAGCAATAAAACTCCAAAGTCGTGATTGTTTCTGTGTAGAGGAAAATACAGACATCAGCTTCACGTAAGGAAAACAAAACCAAAAAACTCTTGTCTCATGGTAGTGGATGCATTAAGAAGAAATGATGAAACATTGAAGACCATTTGGGGTGAGCAGTCAAGGTTTTAAGAGGACAGTGGTACTGGAACAGAGTTAGGCTTCTGGGAAAGCCACAATTACAGTCAAAAGCTGTCCATTTGTTCAGTGAGCAAATAAATTGTGACCAGGATTTGAGAAAACAGGATTTTTTTTTATTGATATTTATTGAGCTCTACATTTTTCTCTGCTCCCCTCCCTGCCTCTCCCCTCCCACTTCAGGCCTCCCCCAAGGTCCCCATGCTCCCAATTTACTCAGGAGATCTTGTCTTTTTCTACTTCCCATGTAGATTAGATCCATGTATGTCCCTCTTAGTGTCTGCATTGTTGTCTAAGTTCTCTGGGATTGTGGTTTGTAGGCTGGCTTTCTTTGCTATATGTTTAAAAACCACCTATGAGTGAGTACATGTGATAATTGCCTTTCTGTGTCTGGGTTACCTCACTCAAAATAATGTTTTCTAGTTCCATCCATTTTCCTGCAAAATTCAAGCTGTCATTATTTTTTTCTGCTGTATAGTACTCTCTTGTGTAAATGTATCACATTTTTCTTATCCATTTTTCGATTGAGGGGCATTTAGGTTGTTTCCAGGTTCATGGCTATGACAAACAATGCTGCTATGAACATAGTTGAGCACATGTCCTTGTGGCATGATTGAGCATCCTTTGGATATATACCCAAAAGTAGTATTGCTGGGTCTTGAAGAAGGTTGTTTTCTAATTTTCTGAGAAATCACCACACTGACATCCAATGGGGATGTACCAGCTTGCATTCCCACCAGCAATGCTGAAGTGTTGCCTTTTCACCACAACCTCTCCAGCATAAGTTGTCATCAGTGTTTTTGATCTTGGCCATTCTTGCAGGTGTAAGATGGAATCTCAGAGTTGTTTTGATTTGCATTTCTCTGATGACTAAGGATGGAAACAGATTTTTTATTGTTGCTTTTATAACATTTTTGGAGGGGACATCGATTCAACTGATACCCATCAAGTTACTTAAAGAGTTTCAAATATAAAAGCAATACATTCCCACCTTTCAGTTGGCTTAAACTTCTAAATACTTCCATTTTTCCTGGGGGATAGTTGCTGGTACCTACTGAGATCACCCAGGAGAGAAGTTTAGAATGTTAAACAGGAGAAAGGGCAGAGACCTTGAGGATCAGTGAAGCAATCAATTGTAAGAAAGGGGAATTGGAAAGGGAGGTGATCTAAGGAAAGGCTCTGTAATATTTATATAGAAAGCTTTGGTTCTTTCTTAAAAGAAGCCCAGCACCTTTGAATTGATCAGAACATTTGATGTATAAATATTCTCTCTCTCTCTCTCTCTCTCTCTCTCTCTCTCTCTCTCTCTCTCT